ACACACACACACACACACACAGCATGACATGACCTATTTGGAATTTCCTTCCAGGGGTTTTACTTTGCATAACATGAATCCATAAAAGCTTCTTCAATATTCTTTGCTGGACTTCACTCACCATGAAGGTAAGTACGATTGTAACTCAGTAACAGGAGGCAAATAACAAACAATTTTCTGACTTTTTCCAAATATTTAATTTGCAGTGTTGTGATAATTGATCTGTGATTTCAGTCCAACGCTTTTCCTACATTTACTTTGTGTTTGAGCAGCTTATTACTTAATCTCCTGCTCTCTTCTCTTCTTTAGTTCCTTCTAACAGTGTTGCAGTGGTTGCTGTTATTGTTCACTCCCAGAGGGTACATTTATTTTCATTTAACTGTTTTTCATCAATGCACAACATCATCAATGATGATTCCATTGAAGTTAATATTTCTCCTTAAATCATTTGAATTCAATATTATTTCTAAGGTTTTGTGTCCAGAGAATTGATTGCCAGTGGGGGCCTTATGATGACTGGTCAGAGTGCGATGGTTGCACCAAATTACAGGTCAGGATGATCAGTTGCTCAATAAACTATTTTGCTAACTTGTTCCTCATCTATATAATGTTAAAAATCCATGATCAGCACAACTTTAGCTAGATAACATATCACACTTCTACAATGATGATGAATTATTTATGATTGGTTATAGACAAGAAGCCGAGTCAGGGCTGTCTATGCTCAGTTTGGAGGAAACATCTGCTATGGAGAGCAAACTCAGACCAGGTCCTGTGAAACCACAAAAGGCTGCCCTCTAGAGGATGGATGTGGAGACCGGTTTCGCTGTCTATCGGGTTAGAAAAAAAACTCTGATCACTTCTGTAAGCTTGTACATTTCTGTAACAACCAGTGAGCTGTCTGTCTGACAGTCTCCTGACCCACAGGGATGTGCATTAGCCAGTCCATGGTGTGTAACGGAGAAGTGGACTGTGGGGGAGATGCTTACGACGAACGTGTCTGTGAAATTCAAAAATGGATTACATGTTCAGATCGTGCACCGCCACCTAACATCGAGCTCCTAGGACTCGGGTAAGGGACACATCTTGATGTAGTTCTATTTGCGTGTGTAAGTATACACAAGCCGGTATTACATACTAACCAATGAGATGTTTTTATTGCTTGTCCAGGTTTGATGTGGTGACTGGTACAAGGAGGGCCAGTGTCATCAACACAGTGAGCTTTGGGGGTCAGTGTCGCACGATCTTCAGTGGTGCCCACATGGTTTTGTACCGACTGCCCCTCAGTACTCTCCAGTATACATTTATGGTTAGTCTCTCCAGAAAAAAACCTACAATAACAATTGATATTGATACTTCTGTCGGTTACTTTTTCAAGGTATCCAACACAGATTTCTGTTTTCAACCCAACGAATTCAGTCTCCTTCCTGTTCTGTTCTGGTCTCCACCAGCTGCTGAGGGAAATAGATATATCTTTAGCTGCTACGTGTTCTAATACAACAGCCACTCAACCAAAATAAACACAATCTTTGTAGCAAGACGTCTCAACCCTCAGATCTTGAGTTACAGACAGTCACGCTACCACCTGCTCCTGCTGCTCCTGCTAGCATCACTTCCCCCCCTTGGCATCACACCGTCTTAACTCAACACTTTTCATTCACATTTGATTCTTAAACTCGTCAAGGTTTAAGAATGACATGTGAATTAGATCTCATCTGATTTTTTGAGCAAAACAATACTGCAGTTTTTCTGGTGCTGGCACACAATACAGGAATCTATGCATTAAAAACATAACTCAGACGCAACACTAGTGGGCAAAATTCGTACTTACTTTCTAATTTCATTAATATTTTTGTTCAAATACATGTTAAACTGTCTCTTCTTTTAAATTCTGTTGCATATTCTGCTTTTCTTAATGATGTGAAATAGATTTTGTCTACTTGTGTTTTCAGGTGAAAGTGCAGAATGACTTCAGTGATGAGATGTTCAGCAGTAAATGGGAGTATGCAAAGGACATTGTCAACAGACAGAAAGTGTACGGCACAACATCAGGTTACCACAACTATGACTTTCACGAGACAGAGGAACAGACTCAGGTTTGTAAGAACAGCAAGTGTCAAAGTAGAAAACGATACTTACTGAATACGTTTTATTTTCTACTCCCTACAGACCCACCGCCTTTTGGTTTTAAAGAATGACATAGAAGTTGCTCAGTTCCAGAGTAATGCGCCTCAGTACATTCCAATATCTGAGGAGTTCTGGAGGGCAGTGGCCAAACTACCCTCTGTGTACGACTACTCTGCCTACAGGAAGGTTTTGGAGAGGTTTGGCACGCACTACCTGTCTGAGGGACACCTCGGAGGATCCTTCAGAGTCATCGCCAACATTGATGAAGAAACTGAAAAACGAATGGGTGAGGATTCATGAATCATTCGCAGCTAAAATCAACTTATGTCAGATTCAGCCTGCCATGTTTTCTTTGGTCAAGACCACCGTACAATACTTATATATTCATGATGAAAATATCTTTTTTTTGAATATCTAATGGTTACAGGATTAACTGCATTAAATTATATTAGCCTGTAGTTGTCACCACAAAGTGAGATGTATTTGTAATACGCAGTAAATGTAATTTGGGAGAAACAAAATATTTTTATACTGTATATGAAGATAAGATAAGTTATTCTTATATTAGTTATAAAAGGACTGTAAAAAAAATCTGTTACAGTAAAGTATAGATAAACATGCAATATGAACATGAGGAAATATAAAAATATAATTGTAATAAAACATACAGTATAAAGATAATATGTAAAATATATATCAGAAAATCATACACCCCACACTTTATGATTTCTGAAATATATTAAACAACTAATTATCTTGAAATTCACGTGAAACAGAATCACTGTTGACTAATTGGTTTCATTAAACATTGATGATAATAAAGATTTCAGGAAATCCTTTCTGGATTAATTTCAAATACAATCTGAAACCATTTAATTTCACAGTCTCTGAACTGTCAAATAAACCCAGTTTTTTTCAAAATGTAAATTATGTCCATGCAACTCTAGGTACTGTGGTCTGATGCATTATAATGCATTAATTAATTATTAGTGGTGGTGACATTTTCTTTATTTGATTCCAAACAAAAGACTTTTGGTTAACTTGTTGTTGTTGTTGTTTTCAGTTGCTGAACGCTCGGATTTTAATGAATGTGTAAGGACCAAACGTTGGTTTCTTATATTCCCCATCACCCATGTGGATTGCACGTCTGGTGGTAATCAGAAGACATTATCCAGTGGTATGATGTTTGTTCCACAGACACAATTGAGCTCATGAAAGCGGGTGAAAGTTGTCTCTGATCATCTCTATAAACCTTTCTGAAACAGGAAGTGTCAGGGGAAATGCAGTCAGAAAAGTGGAAGTGGAAGGAGGAGGCGTCCAACATATAGCAGCACTGAAGAACATGCAGCTCAATGATCCAGGCAGGAACTGGGAAATGTACTCAAACTGGGCTGACTCTGTTCGATCATTTCCAAATGTCATCAAACAAAAGGTGAAGGAAATGAGAAAAGCTTGAGGATAATGTTGGATTTACTTTTTCAGTGTGTCGTCTTATCAAAGAATACAAACATCACGTCACCTCAGTTTCACTCTCTTATCTCTTGTTTCGGCAGCTGCGGCCACTGTCGGAGCTGGTGAAGGAGGTGCAGTGTGCCGGGGTGAAGAGGCTCTACCTTAACAGAGCCATAGAACAGTATCTGACCGAGAGTGATGCCTGCCACTGCCGGCCCTGTCTCAACAATGGCCTGGTTGTCATGAGAGGAAACCAGTGCAAATGTATCTGTAAGCCTGGAACATCTGGGCTGGCCTGTGAGCAGGGAGCTGAGGTGGAAGGTCAGTGGGGTGAGTGTTACACATCAGACTCCTTGTTTTCTGCTGCTGTAGTAAAAGTACCAAATTAACTTTTCTACTCAAGCAATGGTACATAAAGACTCAAATGTACTAAAGTAAGGGTAAAAGTACCAAGTACTCAACTAAAAGTAGCTCATTACCTTTTCTACTTAACTGAAAGTACAAATAAATGACCAAATGTACTCATGTACAGTAATGAAGTAAATGTACTTTGTTCCATCCACCACTGTAATTTATTTGTTTACTCCAGGAGTGATCCATGGTAGATGGTCCTGCTGGTCAGCCTGGACATCGAGCTCTCAGGGTAGAAGGTCGCGGAGTCGTTCCTGCAGTAATCCCACTCCTCAGAACGGAGGACAGCACTGCATCGGAGAAACCACGGAGACGTCTGAGGATGAAAACCCACAGCTGCAATATTTAAAGTCAGGGCGATGCATTTTGTAAAAACTGTATCAGACACTGCCAGTCATTGAGTGGAGGAGGTTCACACTGAATTTACACGGCATCCTACTGTTTTCCCACAGAACCATGGAGCCTCAGTGCTTCGACCTAACTCTCACAGCGAGACAGAAGTGTGGGACCCCGCCTGCTCTGATAAATGGCTATATCCTGGTAAAGATGAAAATAAATCACACTGATCTCAGTCAGGACAGACTTCAATTCAAGAATGAAACAAATTCCTTGCCGTTCACAATAAGAGATGAAAGTGATGTGATATAAATGAGGTTGGCGCTCAAACCCCTCGTGATGCCATTATGGTTGAAAGGAGACGTGGCTGCATAGTAACCTTCCATGGAGGTCGAGACACTGGTTGATGGATGTAGAGAGTTTTGAGGATCTGAACAGAAGAGATGAGATTAGATCAGATTCAAAGATTTTAAAAAGGTATTTTGCATAATAGGGGCTTTAATTCAAAGGTTTAACAAATGTATTGAAAAGTGAAATGAGCCAGCCTCAGTGACTTTTAATTTTTTGAATTATAGCATTTTAATTTCTCTCGCTCTTTGGGTGTTTTTTTTATACAAAAGTCAGGACTGATTACAATAAACTAAATCAACTTTCTCCTCACATCACCTTTCATAGGACCCCAAGGATGTTTACCTTGTGGGCAGCAGGGTTGAGTACACCTGCACTCCGGGTCTCTATCTTGTTGGTCACAACATCATAGAATGCAAAGCAGATCAAACCTGGTCCGCCAGACCTGGACTGTGCACAGGTGAGTGTGTTTTTTTTTTTACAGCCAAAGTTTACCATTCAACACAATGAATTACACTGTTATCTTGGGCAGATGTGGCTCAAAATGTTGAAGGTCGATCCCCGAATCCAATCTGAAGTTTCCTTGGGCAAGATACTGAACCCCAGATTGCCCTTGACGGCTGTGCCCACAGTGTATGAATGTTGTGTAATAGAAAGTTGACATTTACCATCCACGTACTAAACTCCAACTTCTCTCCCAGTCTCAAGTTGTAAGATTGAGTCCCTTGCTGAAGGGGTCATAGCCTCGCCTTTAAGGTCGGACTTTGGCATAGGGGAAACAGTCACCTTGTCCTGTCCAGAGGGTCGACAGCTAATAGGAGAAGCAACAGTCATGTGTGACCCCTCATACAGATTTTCACCCGACCCAAGAGATGCTCGATGCAGCCCAGGTAAGGTGCAGATAACACATATGGGATTGCTGTGTAACTGTATATGTACCTGTCATGTATTCTTTGACTTTACGATTCTATACAAGCTACTGTATATTGTTTTTATTGCATATGTGAATATGAGTCAATCTGCAATGTGGAAGAATGATGTCCATGTACTCCACAGCCAGAGAACAACAGCCACAAATAACTCCACTGGTCCAATGTCAAGAGTGGGAGAAGTTTTCCAGAGGAAGATGTGTTTGTAAAAGTCCTTCTGAGTGCAGGTACGTTTGTTAAACTTCATCTTGGAATTTTTGAAAATTTCACTGACATGACATGAAGATGTGGTGGTATTTGATAAAGATAGTGTTTTGTTGTCCCCAGTTCTTCTTTGGAGTTGTGTGCCAACACTCATGCGAGTACTACAAAATCAGTCCTTCTGAGTGTGTGCCAAATGCACACGCTGCAGTGTGCTGGGAAGGAGGTCACGGTGGCAGAAGACAGCACCTGCATGTTGCCGCAGCGCAACACAACAGGCTGCACCAACTGTCACATGTGGGAGACCTGTGGAGGTATAGCGATATTCCCAGTAAACAAAACAACCCATTTTAAAGTGATACACTGCGCTCGTTCATTTTCTACATGTTCCCACCATTCCAACAGATCAAACCAACGAGTGTGTCTGCAGGGACTCTGCAGATTGCTCAACCCCAGGAGCAGATGTGTGTGTGCGTGTCGGGGAGGATGCAGCTGCGGCCGCTCAGACCATGAGCGAGTGTGAGGCAGGACTCCGGAGATGTAAAGGAGAGAAGGTGTCCGTTGTCAGTATCGTGCCCTGCGCTTCCTGAGGATGCAGGAGGAAGGATCACCTCACCACCTCTCATCAGCATCTTCCTTTTAACAGAAATCATCAGTTGTACATTCCTCATATTTGTCAACTGAATTAATAGTGTAACTTTTAGTTTCTAACCCTTTTAACAATTAAATATAACTAAATATAAATGTATCACAACAAAAAATAAATAATAAGGCACCAGCCATGTTCAGTTCCTTTTCATTACTGTACTCTTGGTCAAATCCAGTATATAATACTAAAGATTTGCCCAAAAAGACACACTGAAAATACATGTATAATTATAGAAATTGGTACAGACAGAGTGTATACTGGTCATAGTGATGTGTGGGGGCAGACGTCTGAGGCCTGTATAATCTATATACAACCCATTCAGAATTGATATATCTACCATATAACATTCTAGAATGAATATACATGAACGTTGTATATCTTGCTACTACATGGAAATGCATATTGCGAAATCATTTGTTTTTGCCAAAAACAGGTCATCGTGAGCAGCGGCTCACTCCCAGCTGTTTTCTTTCTCCTGGTCCTTCTCTTGTTTCCCAGAACACATTCCATCAAGATGTCCCAGAAAAACAGGATGGGAGGTGTTTTTGCAACGAGCACGAACTTTAGGATCAAGTTATGTTCGGTGAAGATTAAATCCTTTCAAACGGCTCCATTGTTTGTTGTCAGGTGGTTGATTTTCAGATGAACTCAGATCTATTTACTTCAATAAACATCTTATTCACATTTGAAGAACTTTGCCTCCACAAGTTTGATTACTTCAGCAGATGCTGTCGCCTTTAGTTTGTTATAAACAGTGGGGAAGTACTCAAATATTTTACTTAGGTAAAAGGACATATAAATAGACAAAAATGTATTCAAGTAAAGGTAAAAGTACCACATTAACTTTTCTATTTGACTAAAACTAAGTAGTTAAAGTAAAAGTACTTGTGCACTGTTACTTCACCAGTGATGCTGCGGCTACAGAAGGCGGGGTCTACTGTTACCTGCCCATCAGTGGACTAGTTCCTCCCTCGTTATTGGTTACTTCTAAAATATAAAAAAAAACTATGTAGTGGAGGAGAAAGAACACATATTTTGCTGAAACATGTAGTGAAGTAAAAGTGAAAAAGAACCCACAAAGAAAAAAACGTGAAAATCTACTTAAACCTCTAAAAAGGTCTTTTCAATATAGATGTAAAACATATTTTGTGTTCAGAATAATGTG